TCTTCATCAGATTTGGAGAAATGTAGCATTGTATCAGTGTCTCAGCAATGGCTCCTCTGCAGTGAATGGGTGCCGTCAGAATGAGAGTCCAAAAACATCACAATAATCCACAAGTAATCAACACACCACTCCAGTTCATCAGTTAACATCTTGTGAAGTCAAAAGCTGTGTGTTTGTAAGAAACAAATCCATCATTAAGGTGTTTCTCACTTTAAACCATTGCTTCTGGTTAAAATAGAGTCCTCTATACATAACATTGCTTTCTTCAGTGAAAAAGTCCATCCTCTGTTTTCCACTCACATCAAAACCCACCAAAATATGTTTAGAACTGTTGTGGACTGTTATTGCTGGTAAACATTGCTTGATCTGTGCATATTTCTCGCTTGATGTTAAAACACCTTAATAATGGATTTGTTTCTTACAAACACACAGCTTTTCACTTTACAAGACATTAACTGATGGACTGGAGTGGTGTGGATTACTTGTGGATTATTGTGATGTTTTTATCAGCTGTTTGGACTCTCATTCTGACGGCACCCATTCACTGCAGAGCATCCATTGGTGAGCAAGTGATGCAATGCTACATTTCTCCAAATCTGCTCAGATGAAGAAACAAACTCATTTACATCTTGGATGGCCTGAGGGTGAGGAAATTTTCAGTAAATTTGCATTTTTGGGTGAACCATTCCTTTAATTATGAATTATTATTAACTGAGGAGTCACTTGACAAAATGAAAAATTGAAAAGGCAAAACACAAATGAGATCTCTTTATCAAAATGAAGATCGAATGCAGATTTTTCAACGTCTCAAACTTTGCAAAAAAAAACCTGAGCTGATCTACAGTACACTTATTTTATGGCCCTATACTTTAACTGCACCGAATGCCAACAAATGTCTCATTTGTATATTTTATTCTTCTAAGGAGTTTTAGAGGCATCTAAGACAAAGTTGATAATTCTATGAAACATAAGTAAGTCTCCTGAGCTGCGAATGAGAAACTACTTGGGAATGTAATCATTTTTACTGATCTTTTTTATTCCAATCAGATTAAAAGCACATGTTTAACAGGTCCACAACATTTCAGGCTGATGTGAGAATTCAGATTAACAAAGCAGTAAAAATGAAACTCAATACCAGAGCAGTTCTTGCTCACGCACAGAGCTGCAACCACAACACACACACTCAGCATCTGACCTGAGGAGGTTTCCTTCAGACTGAGCTTCAGCTGGTTCACACACACCATACCTTACAGACCAAACGCATGTTCAAATAGAGTAAAAAGCACTCACTGTGGCTTATGTTGAGTCAGTGAGTTTCTCTCCAGCCGTCTGTATGAGGAGGTTGCAGTCAAGCTCTCTGTCTCTGTTTCTCTTGAATGTGTAGAAGCTTGCGTTTTCATTCAGACATCATCAGAAGACAAACTCCACCCTGATGTCTTCCTCCACCCCTTTGAGTCTTTCTCTTTTCCTCTCTGAATGTGCATTTCACAGAATCTCACATGGTCTCTATATGACATCTCAGAGGTTTTGATATCTGTTCATATTGTTTCTCATAATCAGTGCTGAACAATAAGAATACCTCACACCATTTTGTTCTCAGTCGCGTTGGTACGAAATTCAATCTTCACATCATCTAGTCACTTGTGCACATCATAAAAGCAATTTCTCATTCTTTTGAACAAATTGCAAATGCTTTTGTACATTCATGCAGTTGATTATGTACAATTGTCTGCTGTTTCCTACATTAAATGCTTATTATAAAAATTAAATATATTAATATATTATATTATACTGGTCCTCTGTTGAATAGGTATAGTTGTCATAATCTGTCAAGCAGCATATTTTCCATTCATTTCTATTTTATTTATCTATTTTTTTTTTTGGTAAATGCATTCTGAATTGATGAATTGTGCAGGTGAATCTTACTGACAAGGAATGTAAGATGTTAAATCAACCAGTGGTCAACCAGATCAAAAAGACAAAGAAGTAGAAGCCAAGGATGTAGCCACATTTCCCTTGAAAATAGGGTCACTAGATGCAGCCGAATATTGGGAGAACAACTGTGTCCTCAATCATTCAGACATTTGTAGACAGCATGTAATGTAACTAAACAATGTGCACTATATTGTAATATTTTATACTTACTGTAATGCATCATATTACAGTAGTCCAATTATATTTTACATTATACAGTAAATATACTTTATACAGATACACACATACATATATACACACATACAGTAATGTGTACATTTGTACTATTGATACTGATGAATTTTCAATCTGCCATCAAAACATGACTAAGCATTTTGACTATCTTATTCATGATCAATGACACAAGGACTTGTCATTCTGATGGCACTGATATGTTCATTGACATAAATACTTACTTTTACACTTACATTGACATAAATACTTTTGAGTAAATTACAGGCTTTTGCAGGTAATCCATTGTGTGGTGCTGTTTGGATTAATTGTTTTGAGAAATGCACATACTGGTTTGCAAATATTAAGAATGATACAAGAAATGGACCAAAGCGACTGAGAAAACCTGTAATTCAGTTTATACAAATAAAACAGAATCCTGTATTGGGAGCTATGTTCGTTTTCTGCATTTTCTTTCATTTTTATAGATTTTTTTCTGATGAAGAAGACACAAACTTAATTAACGTTCGACTTTAAGGTTAAATAACTTTTGTTTATGATATTTTCTGTTTAATATCTGTGTTGCAAGAACAAAATATTTTAAGAATGGAAAAATGGCTTTATAAATGAATGAATGAATAGATAGATAGATAGATAGATATGAAGCCGATATGATTCCTGCACGTTATTTCATATATTTCAAGTCTTTCGTATTATTTTGTATTCATGTGATAAACAGGCCGTAAAAAATTGCGGGGGGGGGGGTAGACATAAAGAATAAACAGAGAATAAATCAGAATAAACGCAGAACCTAATTCATATTCGGAGTGTTTTTGTGTCTACCAGCAGAGGGCGCTGTTGTGAATTCAGCGCTCTTTCCAGCAGCGCGTTTGTCTTTGTACGGAGTCTTTGACTGTTGATTCCGGACATTGTGCTGCGCGTCTCCAACACACTAAACTCTCCAACACTCGTCTCAGTTCATTTCGTCTTATCTTTATTTCATCTGTTCAACAGCTCTGAAGATCTCTGAATAATGGCTTTCCAGTATCCAGACACCTATAGGGACGAATCAGTGGTGAGTGACTGAATGATAGAGAGAAAGAGGACATGAATGAATAGATGGAAGGATGAATGAGAACAGATACAGATGAATGAATGCGTGATGAAATAAGTAAATAGATGAATGAATGGCTGAAAGAATAAATGAAAGCATGATTTTCGCATTTTCATGTAGTTGAACTTGATGTATTAAAATAACTACAACTAAAGCTCAAAAATGCAGATAAATATTAATAAAAACTATGGGTGTAACGTACTTGAACTAAAATGTAAATTAACACAGAAAATACAAAAATGAGTACTAATTCAGAATCTATGGCTGCATGAGTGACAAATGGATGGATGGATAAATAAATAAATGCATAAATGAATGAGTGACATTATAAATGAATCCATGAGAGAATTAATGAATGAAAATAGAAGGATGAATAAGTAAATGGATCCATGAGAGACTGAATTAATGGATAAAAAAGAAAGAAAGAAATCAATAGAGGTCCTGGTTGTTTACCTGAGAAATTCTCTAAATATTTATTTAGCGATTGTGTGTATTAAAATAAAAAATAAATAAATAGATAAATAAATAAATGTAATAATAGGAAAATAAAGAAATAAATGACTTGATAAAACAAATATAGTTCATTTGTAATAAAATTTAATCCTGAATAAATTTTTTTATGACTTTTTTCCTTTATGTATTATTTTCTGTATTTATTTTTATTCTTTTTAACTTTTATTTATTTATTTATTCTTTCATTTATTTTATATTTATGTAATTTATTTATTTTTAAATGTATTTATTCATGCATTTATTTATTTTTTTATATTTATTTATTCCCACATCTATTTATTTCCAGATTTATTTATTAATTTATTTCTTTTTACTTTTCCGTGTGCATCATGGAAATGAGGGAGGCGGTCCTTGCGGAGCTCGGTAACTGATTGTTTGAGAGCTCACGTATATATATATATATACTACATTTGTAATCTCTGAGACATGTTTGTTTGTGTTCTTGAAAGAAATTGATCATCATTAAAAAAATACATTTAAGCGTTATTAATGCTGACAAATGGAATAGCAAAGCAAACTGGTTTCCAAAACACACTTCCTGTCTTCCATTGGACAGAAAGTCCCGCCCCAAACCCACAGCATTGGTTGAAGCAATGTTCCAACTTCCACCTGCACTGTGATGTAATCATGTTGCTGTGGTGACCTCACCGCTCATGTGATGCATGTGTATATGTGTTATCAGGTGGATGACTATCATGGCTGTAAAGTTCCTGACCCGTACAGCTGGCTGGAGGATCCTGACAGTGAAAAAACACAGGTGATCTCCACACAACACCTCGCCACCCTCCTCTGAAAGAGCATGTGACTTATGACTCTATATATTTGAGACTTGTGTGTGGCTCTATATGTCCGCCAGGCGTTTGTGAATGTTCAGAATCAGCTGACCCTGCCGTTCCTGGAGCAGTGTGAGATTAGAGACATCTTTAAGGATCGTATGACTGAACTCTATGACTACCCCAAATACAGCTGCCCCTTCAAACGCGGGAACAGGTGAGATGGGCATTTTGGACTACCTGTAGCTTGTTTATTGAGGATGCAGGACAACCAGGATCTAGTTGTGGTTTCTTAATAAGAGGCTTAATAACCGCCAGCTTGAATGGTTTTGGGACGTGACCTAAAGACAACGACGAGTTAATAATATTGAGAAGCGGTTCTTCTGCTACAGGTAACAACTCTTTCAGTAATTTAGTGGGTACAGGATCTAACAGGCATGTTGTTGGTTTAGATGCAGTGATAAGTTTATTTAGCTCTTCCCGTCCTATAGTTGTAAAGCACTGCAGTTTATCTTTGGGTGCGATTAATGAAGCTGAAGTATTATACGCTGTAGAATCTACATTTGTTATTGTATTTCTGATGTTATCTGTTTTATCAGTGAAGAAATTCATAAAGTCATTACTATTAAACTGTGAGGGAATATTTAGATCGGGTGGCTTCTGGTTATTCGTTAATCTAGCCACTGTGCTAAATAAAAACCTTGGATTGTTTTGGTTATTTTCTATGAGTTTGTGGATATGCTCGGCCCTGGCAGCTTTTAGAGCCTGTCTATAGGTGGACATACTGTTTTTCCATGCAATTCTAAAAAAATTCAGCTTTGCATCACAGGAATAAATTACATTTTAAAATATATTCACACTGAAAACAGTTATTTTGGTAATACTATTTCACAATATTACTGTTTTTGCTGTATTTTTTATCACAAAATCCAGCCTTAGTGAGCAGAAGAGACTTCTTTTAAACAGATAAAAAAAATCTTAATTTTTCCAAACTGTTGACAGGTAGTGTATGCGTGTATATTTTCTGAAGTTCTGCCCTAACAAACACTGTTTTTTCTCCCTCTCATAGGTATTTTCACTTTTACAACACTGGTCTGCAGAACCAGAGCGTTTTGTACATGCAGGAGAACCTTGAGGCAGAGCCCAGCGTGTTCCTGGACCCAAACACCTTCTCAGAGGACGGGACGGTTTCTTTACAAGGTGCTGGAAGTATCTGTTTGTTTGACGCAGTGTGTGACGTCTCTTTCTGCAGTGATATCGCTGTAATGACTGTCAGGTAAGGCTTGTAGCTTATTCTCAGGTTATGCGTTCTCTGAGAATGGCGAGTACCTGGCATACGGCACCAGCGCGAGCGGCTCCGACTGGGTTGAGATCCGGTTCTTGCGCGTGGACGGCGCTGTACCTCTGGAGGACCGACTGGAGAGGGTCAAATTCACCTGCATGTCCTGGACTCACGATGGAAAGGGACTCTTCTATAACTCTTATCCTGTGCAGGAGGGCAAGAGTGACGGTAAACACACACAAACATGCACGATAAACAAATTCACACATGCAGGTGTAAGAGACAGTGTTATGTTAGTTATTCACATACTATATTAATATTTATTAATATTTTGTATTAGCAATTATTTTTATATTTTCATTTTTCATTTTAAGCTTTAGTCATTTTATGTGCTTTTGTAATTTTTATTAGTTAAAAAAAAAAAATCTATTTAGCTTTATTTTATTTTTATTTCAATTTTAGTTTTAATGATTTTAGCAGTTTAACCCAAACTTTAGTTGCCAAGGCAACATTTCTAAATTTAATTTAGGGTTTTATTATTGTTAAGTTTTTCACCTAATTTTTATATTTTATTTTATTTTAAGCTTTATTCCAATCACCGAAAAAAATTTAATAGCTTTAGTAGTATTATTCAAATATTATATTAGTATTGATTAATATTTTGTATTTGTATTTTTTTAATATTTCTATTTAGCTTCAATTTAAAAGTTTTTCATCTAATATTTATATTTTATTTCAGTGTTTTTAAATTTTATTTACATTTTTATTTATTTACTTTACAAGTATTCAGAAGCTATATTAGTATTTATTACTATTTTGTAATTAATAATTTTTATATATATTTCTATTTAGCTTTCATTTATTTTTATGTCAGGTTTAGTTTTAGCAATTTTTGAACTTTTAACTAAACTAAAATTTATTTTTAAGTTTTAGTTTTTCATCTAATATTTATATATTATAATTTATTTCAGCTTTTTACTTTTACATTTTATTTCAATATTTAACAGCTTTAGTAGTATTATTCAATGCTATATTAGTATTTAATAATATTTTGTATTTTTTTTTATATATATATTTCTGTTTAGCTTTTATTTTCAATTTTAGTTTTAGTAATTTTAACACTTAATAAAAAATTGGTTTAGGTTAATGTTTTTCATCTAATATTTCTATATAATATTTTATTTCAGCTTTTTAAATTTTATTTCAGTTTTTAATGGCTTTAGTAGTATTATTCAATGCCATATTAGGAGTTATTCATATTTTGTTGTTTTGTTTTAAATATTTATATTTAGCTTTAATTTATTTTTATTTTAGTTTTAGTAATTTTAGCACTTTAACCTAAACTTATTTCTAATTTTCGTTTAAGTTTTTCACCTAATATTTGTATTTTATTTTATTTCATTCACTGAAAATGATTTTTAATAGCTTTAATGGTAACCGTTTACTATAAGGTCTAACTTGTTAACATTAGTTAATGCAAACTAACATTTACTAACAATGAGCAATGTGTTTCTGCATTAGTTTCAGTTACCAATAACAACATGGGTAAGAGATCTTGATTGACATCTGTCTGTCTCTCAGGCACTGAGACGTCCACTAACCTGCACCAGAAGTTGTACTATCACGTGTTGGGAACCCCTCAGTCTCAGGACGTCCTGTGTGCTGAATTTCCTGATCAGCCGAAATGGATGAGTGGTGCTGAGGTAACAAACACACACATAAATGGTGCTTCATTTCTGGTTGTGTTATGAGGTGAATAACGTATGTGTGTGTGTTTTCAGGTGTCTGATGATGGCCGTTATGTGCTGTTGTCCATCCAAGAGGGCTGTGACCCCGTCAACAGACTGTGGTACTGTGACCTGAACGACGTGCCGCAGGGAGTCACTGGTACAGACACACAGAAACATTATTTTTCAGACAAAAATGCTTGTTTTCCACTGCCAGGATCTCATGTATATCTTAATGATGACAGGTTTGCTGCCATGGGTGAAGCTGATCGATAACTTTGATGCAGAGTATGAATACGTCACAAATGAAGCAACTGTTTTCACTTTCAAAACCAACCTGGAAGCTCCTCAATATAGACTCATCAACGTTGACTTCGCCCAACCGTCCATCAGCCAGTGGAAAGAGCTCATTCCCCAACACGACAAAGACGTCATCGGTGAGCAGAGATAGAAATCACGTCAAATCAGAATTCACTGTCTTTACTTTCTCAATGAATGTCCCTGGTCTTGTTGTGCCTAATTCATCTGCAAGTTATTGTAAGAAAAAAAAATATATTTTCATGATCTCATAATCAAAATGTAATTACTTTTTCCCTTTTACTTTTCCCACAGAAATATGTCACATTATGGAAATTAAATGTGTTGAAAATTCTGTTTCTTTAAACTCTATTTAATTTAATTTCTTGATTTAAAAAGAATAACATAAGAGTTTTATTATTTTATTTATTTTGGTCAAAAGTTTGAATAATTGACATAATTAAAAATTAAATAAATGTTTTTGAAATAAGTCTCTTCTACTCACCAAGGCTGCATTTATTTGATTAAAAATACAGTAAAAACAGTAATATTGTGAAATATTATTACAATTTAAAATAAGTATTTTCTATTTGATTATATTTAAACATGTAATTTATTTCTGTGATCAAAGCTGAATTTTCAGCATCATTACTCCAGTCTTCAGTGTCACATGATCTTCATGCTGATTTACAGCTCAATTATCATTGGTTCTTAATTATTAATAATAGTTATTTTTATTATCAATGTTGAAAACATTTTTTGCAGCTTTGTGGAAATCTTTTTTTTTTTTAAGATTAAAGAACAGCATTTATTTGAAATAGAAATCTTTTGTAACAATATAAATATCATAGGATTGCTTTGTTACATCCGTGCTGAATAAAAGTATTGTTTTTTTTTAACTCTTACATAACCAAAACTTTTAAATGTATATATATGTATATATACACACACATTTATTTATATATATATATATATATATATATATATAATTTTATATTTGAGATGGGTCTGTAATTTGCCAGTTCACTAGGATCTAGTTGTGGTTTCTTAATAAGAGGCTTAATAACCGCCAGCTTGAATGGTTTTGGGACGTGACCTAAAGACAACGACGAGTTAATAATATTGAGAAGCGGTTCTTCTGCTACAGGTAACAACTCTTTCAGTAATTTAGTGGGTACAGGATCTAACAGGCATGTTGTTGGTTTAGATGCAGTGATAAGTTTATTTAGCTCTTCCTGTCCTATAGTTGTAAAGCACTGCAGTTTATCTTTTGGTGCGATTAATGAAGCTGAAGTATTATACGCTGTAGAATCTACATTTGTTATTGTATTTCTGATGTTATCTATTTTATCAGTGAAGAAATTCATAAAGTCATTACTATTAAACTGTGAGGGAATATTTAGATCGGGTGGCTTCTGGTTATTCGTTAATCTAGCCACTGTGCTAAATAAAAACCTTGGATTGTTTTGGTTATTTTCTATGAGTTTGTGGATATGCTCGGCCCTGGCAGCTTTTAGAGCCTGTCTATAGGTGGACATACTGTTTTTCCATGCAATTCTAAAAAAATTCAGCTTTGCATCACAGGAATAAATTACATTTTAAAATATATTCACACTGAAAACAGTTATTTTGGTAATACTATTTCACAATATTACTGTTTTTGCTGTATTTTTTATCACAAAATCCAGCCTTAGTGAGCAGAAGAGACTTCTTTTAAACAGATAAAAAAAATCTTAATTTTTCCAAACTGTTGACAGGTAGTGTATGCGTGTATATTTTCTGAAGTTCTGCCCTAACAAACACTGTTTTTTCTCCCTCTCATAGGTATTTTCACTTTTACAACACTGGTCTGCAGAACCAGAGCGTTTTGTACATGCAGGAGAACCTTGAGGCAGAGCCCAGCGTGTTCCTGGACCCAAACACCTTCTCAGAGGACGGGACGGTTTCTTTACAAGGTGCTGGAAGTATCTGTTTGTTTGACGCAGTGTGTGACGTCTCTTTCTGCAGTGATATCGCTGTAATGACTGTCAGGTAAGGCTTGTAGCTTATTCTCAGGTTATGCGTTCTCTGAGAATGGCGAGTACCTGGCGTACGGCACCAGCGCGAGCGGCTCCGACTGGGTTGAGATCCGGTTCTTGCGCGTGGACGGCGCTGTACCTCTGGAGGACCGACTGGAGAGGGTCAAATTCACCTGCATGTCCTGGACTCACGATGGAAAGGGACTCTTCTATAACTCTTATCCTGTGCAGGAGGGCAAGAGTGACGGTAAACACACACAAACATGCACGATAAACAAATTCACACATGCAGGTGTAAGAGACAGTGTTATGTTAGTTATTCACATACTATATTAATATTTATTAATATTTTGTATTAGCAATTATTTTTATATTTTCATTTTTCATTTTAAGCTTTAGTCATTTTATGTGCTTTTGTAATTTTTATTAGTTAAAAAAAAAAAATCTATTTAGCTTTATTTTATTTTTATTTCAATTTTAGTTTTAATGATTTTAGCAGTTTAACCCAAACTTTAGTTGCCAAGGCAACATTTCTAAATTTAATTTAGGGTTTTATTATTGTTAAGTTTTTCACCTAATTTTTATATTTTATTTTATTTTAAGCTTTATTCCAATCACCGAAAAAAATTTAATAGCTTTAGTAGTATTATTCAAATATTATATTAGTATTGATTAATATTTTGTATTTGTATTTTTTTAATATTTCTATTTAGCTTCAATTTAAAAGTTTTTCATCTAATATTTATATTTTATTTCAGTGTTTTTAAATTTTATTTACATTTTTATTTATTTACTTTACAAGTATTCAGAAGCTATATTAGTATTTATTACTATTTTGTAATTAATAATTTTTATATATATTTCTATTTAGCTTTCATTTATTTTTATGTCAGGTTTAGTTTTAGCAATTTTTGAACTTTTAACTAAACTAAAATTTATTTTTAAGTTTTAGTTTTTCATCTAATATTTATATATTATAATTTATTTCAGCTTTTTACTTTTACATTTTATTTCAATATTTAACAGCTTTAGTAGTATTATTCAATGCTATATTAGTATTTAATAATATTTTGTATTTTTTTTTATATATATATTTCTGTTTAGCTTTTATTTTCAATTTTAGTTTTAGTAATTTTAACACTTAATAAAAAATTGGTTTAGGTTAATGTTTTTCATCTAATATTTCTATATAATATTTTATTTCAGCTTTTTAAATTTTATTTCAGTTTTTAATGGCTTTAGTAGTATTATTCAATGCCATATTAGGAGTTATTCATATTTTGTTGTTTTGTTTTAAATATTTATATTTAGCTTTAATTTATTTTTATTTTAGTTTTAGTAATTTTAGCACTTTAACCTAAACTTATTTCTAATTTTCGTTTAAGTTTTTCACCTAATATTTGTATTTTATTTTATTTCATTCACTGAAAATGATTTTTAATAGCTTTAATGGTAACCGTTTACTATAAGGTCTAACTTGTTAACATTAGTTAATGCAAACTAACATTTACTAACAATGAGCAATGTGTTTCTGCATTAGTTTCAGTTACCAATAACAACATGGGTAAGAGATCTTGATTGACATCTGTCTGTCTCTCAGGCACTGAGACGTCCACTAACCTGCACCAGAAGTTGTACTATCACGTGTTGGGAACCCCTCAGTCTCAGGACGTCCTGTGTGCTGAATTTCCTGATCAGCCGAAATGGATGAGTGGTGCTGAGGTAACAAACACACACATAAATGGTGCTTCATTTCTGGTTGTGTTATGAGGTGAATAACGTATGTGTGTGTGTTTTCAGGTGTCTGATGATGGCCGTTATGTGCTGTTGTCCATCCAAGAGGGCTGTGACCCCGTCAACAGACTGTGGTACTGTGACCTGAACGACGTGCCGCAGGGAGTCACTGGTACAGACACACAGAAACATTATTTTTCAGACAAAAATGCTTGTTTTCCACTGCCAGGATCTCATGTATATCTTAATGATGACAGGTTTGCTGCCATGGGTGAAGCTGATCGATAACTTTGATGCAGAGTATGAATACGTCACAAATGAAGCAACTGTTTTCACTTTCAAAACCAACCTGGAAGCTCCTCAATATAGACTCATCAACGTTGACTTCGCCCAACCGTCCATCAGCCAGTGGAAAGAGCTCATTCCCCAACACGACAAAGACGTCATCGGTGAGCAGAGATAGAAATCACGTCAAATCAGAATTCACTGTCTTTACTTTCTCAATGAATGTCCCTGGTCTTGTTGTGCCTAATTCATCTGCAAGTTATTGTAAGAAAAAAAAATATATTTTCATGATCTCATAATCAAAATGTAATTACTTTTTCCCTTTTACTTTTCCCACAGAAATATGTCACATTATGGAAATTAAATGTGTTGAAAATTCTGTTTCTTTAAACTCTATTTAATTTAATTTCTTGATTTAAAAAGAATAACATAAGAGTTTTATTATTTTATTTATTTTGGTCAAAAGTTTGAATAATTGACATAATTAAATATTAAATAAATGTTTTTGAAATAAGTCTCTTCTACTCACCAAGGCTGCATTTATTTGATTAAGTAAAAACAAAAAACAGTAATATTGTGAAATATTATTACAATTTAAAATAAGTATTTTCTATTTGATTATATTTAAACATGTAATTTATTTCTGTGATCAAAGCTGAATTTTCAGCATCATTACTCCAGTCTTCAGTGTCACATGATCTTCATGCTGATTTACAGCTCAATTATCATTGGTTCTTAATTATTAATAATAGTTATTTTTATTATCAATGTTGAAAACATTTTTTGCAGCTTTGTGGAAATCTTTTTTTTTTTTAAGATTAAAGAACAGCATTTATTTGAAATAGAAATCTTTTGTAACAATATAAATATCATAGGATTGCTTTGTTACATCCGTGCTGAATAAAAGTATTGTTTTTTTTTAACTCTTACATAACCAAAACTTTTAAATGTATATATATGTATATATACACACACATTTATTTATATATATATATATATATATATATATATAATTTTATTTGTATTACATTTTTTTTTATCATTTTAAATAATATAAATAATATTTTGTCAATGGTGTGTTATGATGGTAATGATTTGTGATTTGTTGATCTCTTTCAGTGTTTGCTACCTATACATACTCCAAGTTCCTGTTTGTGTGTTTCCTCCATGATGTGAAGAACGTGTTGAAGATGTTCCATCTGTCCTCGGGGGAGGAGATACGCACTTTTCCGCTGGACGTCGGCTCGATTGTGGGCTTCACTGGGAGGAAGCAAGACTCTGAGATCTTTTACAGCTTCACCTCTTTTCTCTCTCCAGGTCCGTCAAGATTCAGAAGCTTCTGAAATTAAGAACTTTGGTCCTTAAAGAGACAGTTCACACAAGAATGAAAATTGTCATCATTTATTCACCCTCTATTTGTTCAAAACCTGTACGAGTTTCTGTCTTCTGTTCAACAGTTGACAGGAGCCATTGACTTCCATAGTATGGAAAAAATACTGTGGAAGTCAATGGCTACCGTCAACTCTTTGGTTACCAACATTCTTCAAAATATCTTCTTTTGTATTCAACAGAAATAAAGAAACTCATACAGGTTTGGAACAACACGAGGGTGAATAAATGCTGACAGAATTTTCAATTTTCAGTGATCTATCCCTTTAATAACTCATAAATAACGAACAGGTAATATATGACGTGTGATGTGTTTTTCTGCAGCGATCATCTATCACTGTGATCTGACTAAGGAGCCGCTGCAGCCGCATTTCTTCAGAGAGGTCACAGTGAAGGGTTTCAGTCCTGCTGACTACCAGACCACTCAGGTACAGCAAGACGCTTGCAGCTGTTTCATCTATCTGTCTGCGGGATGATTGCCTTCACTTCATATCTGTTGGTTTCTGACAGGTCTTTTATCCCAGTAAAGACGGCACCCAAATCCCAATGTTTATTGTCCATAAGAAAGGAATCGAGCTGGATGGTTCCCATCCTGCCTTCCTGTATGGATATGGAGGTTTCAACATTTCCATCACACCCAGCTACAGGTACAATACAAACCGAACACAAAAACATCCATCTGATCACACGCTCCACTGATGCACTACTGATCTTCAACACGCATCTCTCTTCTGTTGTTGTAAACGTCTGTCTCTCACCGTTTGTGTTTCAGTGTTTCTCGGCTGATATTCGTCAGGCATCTGGGAGGAGTTTTAGCTGTCGCCAATATCAGAGGAGGTGGAGAGTATGGAGAGACATGGCATAAAGGCATGTGACTGTAATTCTGGAGTTAATCAGGGATTGATCTGCACAGATGTTCATAATAGAATACTAGCAAATTGTGTGCTTTGTATATATATATGGCTTCCATTTTTTTTTAAATAGTACACTAGATTTGTTTTTTTTTAAGAAATTAACACTTTTATTCAGCAAGGATGCATTAAATTGATTAAAAGTGAAACTAATTATGTTTATGATGTTACAAAATGTTTCCATTTCACATAAATGATGTTCTCTGTATTCATCACGAAATCCTGAAGTAAAATGCATCACTGTTTCTACAAAAATTTGAAGCAACAACTTTTTTTCAGCACTGATAATAATCATAAACGTTTCTTGAGCAGCAAATCAGCATATCGGAATGATTTCTGAAGGATCATGTGACGGAGTAATGATGCTGAAAATTCAGCTTTGATCGCAGAAATAAGTTACATTTTAAAATATATTCAAATAGAAAACAGTTCTTTTAAATTTCATAATATTAATGTTTTAACTGTATTTTTGATCAAATAAATGTAGGCTTGGTGAGCAGAAGAGACTTCTTTAAAAAAATCTTAGTGTACATGCTACACTGATAGTATGCATAGTATGGTAGTATGCATTTGGAAGATATACTGTTTATCTTTAACATTCTGTTGCTTTTAATGAAAACTGTCTCTTTCTTCTCTCTTCCTGTGCAGCTGGGATGTTGGCCAATAAGCAGAACTGTTTCACTGACTTTCAGTGTGCAGCTGAGTATCTGATAAAGGAGGGTTACACTTCCCCCAATAAAATCACCATCAATGGAGGCTCCAACGGAGGGCTGCTCGTGGGTATGACACACACACACATATATATATATATATATATATATATATATATATATGTATATACACAGGTTTGCATTCTCCTGGTCCTAAATGTCAACTCTCTCCTGCAGCGGCATGTGTGAATCAGAGGCCTGATCTGTTCGGCTGTGCTGTGGCTCAAGTCGGCGTCATGGACATGTTAAAGTTTCATAAGTTCACTATCGGACACGCCTGGACCACTGATTTCGGCTGCTCGGAAATCAAAGAGCAATTTGATTGGTTAATCAAGTAAGTTTACTTCTACTTGCTACAGTGATGCACAGATACATTTAATTTTCTACTTTTTTAGAAGCACTCCACTCTAGACTTTGCGTTACTGTGATTTTACCTCATTAACTGTGGTAAAACTCATTGTAATGCACAGCGTCAAGTGGCTTATTGATTTTATAGAATGTGGCAAGAGCAAAATAGTTAAAATATTGCAAGCATTTATTAGTATACCTTAATTTTATTTATTTGTTTTCGTTACTTATAATATACTGTGTTGTCGTTGTTAACTAAAACTGTTAAATCATTTTCAATAATTGAAATAAAGTTGAAATAAAATGAAATGAAAAATGTTGTCTTGGTAACTAACTGAAATTCGAAGTACTAAAATTAAAATGAAGATAAACCAAAACTAAATAGAATTTTAAAATAATGAAAATGACAAAAGCACATAAAATTACAAAAACTTTAACTAAAATGAATGTTAAAATTAAATAGCTAATTTCAAATATTAATAAATACTACTACAATAGTATATAAATAAAGTAACTAAAACTAAAATAACACTGATTATATATCTTTGAATTTTCCTTTTCAATACTGCTTAGACTGTTAGATTCACCAACTGAATATTTTGCAACGGAGTATTTTTTTATTATTATTTTATTTTATTCAGTTTTATTCAGTATTTTATTTTATTGTGCATGCATTTTATCCGCTTGTTAAGTCTTGATGAATCAAGTTCTGTTTCCGGGTCCAAGCCCCCCTCCATTTCAATTGAGAACTGTATTTCAACCATTTATGATTACTATTTATTGAATTATTTGATAATTTTTAATATGCAGTGTTGTTAACTAAAACTATTAAATAGTTTTCAGTTATTAAAATAAAGCTGAAATAAAAAAATAGACTAAATGTTAACTTGGCAAGTCACTAAAATCTATCTATATCTGTCTATATATATATATATATATAAAATATATCTTAATAATTCAGAAAAGATTAATCATTGTCTGGCCAACTGAGACTTGGTATGGAGATAAAAACATTAGGATCATGATTTTTCTGTAGTACTACAGCAAAACATAAGTGCATAACTAACATAGTAACATAATTGCAAAAACGCTCATCTGTTATGAATTTAAAGAGCTGTAAACGTTCTGACCTTGCAGGTATTCTCCTCTTCACAATATCCATGTTCCAGAAGCTGACGGGGCTCAGTATCCCGCCATATTGTTGTTAACGGGTGACCATGATGACCGCGTGGTGCCGCTGCACTCGCTAAAATATATCGCCACACTGCAGAATGTGATCGGTCAGTGGCCCGGCCAGTCAAACCCCCTCTTTATCTATGTGGACACAAAGTCGGGCCACGGCGCAGGAAAGCCCACCAGTAAAGTCATTCAGGAGGTGGCGGACACATACGCCTTCATCGCTCGCTGCTTGAACCTCAGCTGGATCGAATGAAACAAAAGTTAGGCGGCTCTTAACCTCCTCTAAGCTGTTCCTCTACTCCTGCAGGTTTTTCTTCTTACAGTTTGAATTCAGTCTTGCCTGTTTGCTCTCCTGTTCACTGAACTATTCATCTTTCTTGGTCTCTGTCTCTCCCACGTCTCCACGGTTTCATTATTTAATGTGTTAAATAATGCAAGTTATTTAACACTGCAAGTAAAAGTTTTTAATGCAAGTAAAAACAGTCCAGTGTTGGTTGAAAACTGTAACCTGAATCACATTAGTGACTGATTTCATATCAATTCACCATGTGTCACGGCTGTGTACGGGATACACTTAGGAAATATTATAATTACTGAGGTCACGGGGTGAAGTGTCATAACTTCTCCAGCACTTTACTAAAACTGTATTTATTTGACGACGGGGAGGCATGAACAGTTTTTGGATCACTGCATCACTTCAATGTACAGCACCCTTCAAGAAATCAGTTTGCAAGTGAATCTCAAGAAAACATGTTCAGGTCACATTTTGCCCCAAAACTAAATGAAATAAATGTAGCCTGTTTTTTTTAAAGATTGTTATGTACTATTGCACTGTTTTTAATGGTAGTTAAGCACATTTAAAATAGTCTTCAAGTGTTATGGCTTTTGTCCATATAATTAATTCTTATAACTGAATATGAGAACATAATACATTTTTAAAATTTAAATCAGCATAAATTATATACTCTCCAATAATGTCATGTTTTTTTTGCATTACTGTAATGACTGAGTTTTTGCATACAGTATTGAGAACTGGAGAGGATGAATGTACTTTATTGTCATGACAATAACGTCACTTTTCTTTTGGTGTTGAAATATAAGCTGAGCATGTTTGTTGACGTGAGATTCACCCTTACAGTGTTTGTGAGTGTGTGTTTGTGTGTGTGAAGGAGCTCTTGACAGAAATCTTGTTTCTACCTCCACATTTATGCAGATTGTTTTATCTTTGAAGGGGAAAAAACAAACAAAATAACCTAGTACAATAAAACACATTTGAACATGAATATGATGTGTGTAAGATGATCAAAACATGTTACTTGTTTTTAACGTTAGATGATTTTGCTGAATAATTTTAGCATTTAAAATGCTTTTTAACAAATACTATTGAGAAATGATTAACTTCATGGAGTCTAATGCAGTGTTACTCACAGTTTCAGTGTAAAGTGAATCTCTGAAGTGTCTCATCTGCTGGCTGGAGGCAGGATTACATGCCTACATCCCCTGAAACTAAAACAAAGCAGCAATACTCATTTCATTATATGCCTCAGATTGTGTTAACAAGCTGCAGAGGTTCATTATAATGTAGTGTAATGATTTTGTTATATTGGGTAGTTTTCATGAGCTTTTTGTCTATTATATAACGTTATATATTTATAGATGCAACAGTTACTCAACATCAGCAGTAAATGTGTGGTTACAAATACCATAGTTGAACTAGTAACCTACTGTAGTAAAACCATGGTACCACCATTAGTAAGGGTGTTTAAAAAACAGATTATTTATAGAAAATCAATAAATAATTATAAAGTTAAAACAAGTTAAACTGCGGTCATATTTACCATTGTTCGGCGAATTTTCGCGGGCGAAATAATGAGGAATTTTCGTATTCGCCGCGCTGACCGACAAAAAAACTCTTTGCTTTGAAAAAGTGACTTTTGTGTGAGCTTAGAATATTAACAATGGACCCTTTTTGCCCGAGAAATAATGTGCCCGCACTTTATAAAGCGCCAAATAAAAGTTCGCTAACAGTAACTTTAGATCGTAACTATAGCAGCAGTTGGCCGCTCGTGCGATTTCTGTCAGCGTCACCGACAAAACTCATTATTATATACTCTATTTATTGTTTTTATTATTAGATGTACAATTATAGGTTTACAATTCGACATATAATTTAACAAAAACTCAGAGTAAAAATATTTTTTAGCATACATACTAATCATTTTATTAAAAGTATACATTTAGATCTGTGTAGCAGATAGTCTCGATGAAGCCTATATGACTTAATTAAGGTCACTGACGCAAATGCCATTAGGTCAACATCGCCACCCCCCAAAAAGTCTTTGCATAGCTTGTGGCAGGCACTGAATCAAGGTTCCCACGGTCTTTAACCTTCAGGAAGTGAATTAAAAATCACACAAATCAAATGTTGTATTTTATAAAATCTATTCTAATATCTATAAAATCTAAAGTTTCTGTTAACATCCCGTTGGCTTTTTGAGGCGATTAATCTCCAGCACCGGTGCGCCATAGTGAACGCACTGTCAGTCCGGTGTTCCGGTGCGCGCGAGGAGGAGGAGGGCGGTCCGGTTTAGATCACATCACTTCAGAGTATATCTCACGCGTTTCTCTTCATCATGGCGCGATGCGCTCCTGACACCGGTTCCGTTCCGTCCCCGTGATGCGCGTGATGATGATGATGGTGACGGATGAAAGATGGAGAAACTATCCGCGAGCATTAACGGACTCTCGTGGAGCTCCGTGTCGCCGCCGCTGGACGTGATCGTGAGCAAATTCCGCTTACCGACACTCGTGCGGCTGAGCCACGGTAAGAACCCACCAGAGTTAACGTTACTGAACGTTGCGCCGCAGCGCGTCAAAGTTAGCGGAATATGAAACATCACATTTCGCTGGTATATTAATGCTCTTTCAGGTCTGATTATACAAATGAGGTCTGGAAATACTCCCAATTTTTCTCGTATAAATCGATTCATACTTTAATAGAGCGTTGTGTAAATGTTTGCAACACAGAATCCTCAGTGAAGTGTGTAGTTGATTTGTCTTTTGGCTAAAGGTGACAGAGAAATGTTTGCAACACAGAATCCTCAGTGAAGTGTGTAGTTGATTTGTCTTTTGGCTAAAGGTGACAGAGGGTGTGTTGTGTGTTAAAGAGCTGCAGCTCTTTTCATATGTTAATGTTGTAATGTGCTGTAGTGTGTGTTGAATACCAAACAACCTCCTGCAGAAGAAACTCCAACATTTACTCAACAATCACAACTGAAGAACACAGAATTAAACTCCCATCAATGTTGGCACATTCCTGTATGTGTGAAAGTTTAACTTTCAATGGAGGGAAAAATCTTCTGAATTGGAATCGGGCACTTTTTGTGTGTTTGCATCAGTTAGACTCCATATTCTCTGGTGAGAGTATTTAAATGAATAGTTTGCACCCATAAATGCATGATATTAAGAATGTCTGTTTTGGGTAAATGAACTAAACATTAAAATGGTCTCAGAAGCTCATTAAGATGATTAGATTTCAGGTTAGATTTGGTTATTTTTATAAAACATGATGAAAATGGTTCTTTTTTAACAGTCCGTAATTTATTTTTAATAAAGAAGCTAAAAGACGACTGAACTTCGGACAATTAAGTGATGAGACTTCTACATTTGTGTTAAATTAAACATGAATCTACCCTGATTACTGATGGATTAATGGATTATTGCTTATTTAATGCCCATGTACTGTATACATCTTTATAATGCCAGATCACCCAAAGAACGATAAAGATAATCATAACTATATTAATGTCCACACCAACAAACGATAACATTCTTTTTATTCTAAGTGATGTAGTCTGCCACTTTAAATGATCTGTCTCTTTAAATTCAGATGGATTCTGATTGGATAACAATGTTTTTATTGTTCATCAGCTGGAAAAAAATATTACTCTAAAAGTGGTTCAAATGATATTGTTGCTTTTTGTCACTAACACTACAATTGTGGCATGGACTTCGCTTTTCTCTTAAGGTGCTGTAATTTGCTCTGCAAAATTTTGCCATCGAAGCCCAGTCATTTCAATAGGAATCCTTGCGATCAGGAGTTTTGAAAAAAAAAATCCCTTTTCAGATTTAGCTCATGTTCAAATTGGTCACGCAAATTCATTGCGCTCATCAACACAAAGCTGCTTAGTTTGAAAGTGACTTTTGTGTGAGCTCTGCGTTATATTGACAATCGACAACAGACCTTTTTTTGCCCACAAAAACGTGCAGAAATGTTCCATGCCTTTAGACTTAGAATTATTAAATCTTATATAATTATTAAAAGCTTATAATTATCGTCCTTGGTGTGATTGGCCCTTTAAAGTGCAACAAATACACTATTGGTATATAAAGCATAAATATGGTAGAGTGACAACAGATTTACACTCTTAAAAATAAAGGTTCTTTATTGGCATCGATGGCTCCATGATAAACCTTTAACATCCATGGAACCTTGGCCGTTACTCAAAAGGTTCTTTATGGTGTCTTTAGATTATTAAAATGTTCACTCACTAAAAATTATTATTTTAAGAACTGTTCACTGAAAGGTTAAGGAACCCAAAATGTTTTTTCTATGGCATTGCTGTAAAAAAAAAAAAAAAAAACTTTTGGAACCTTTATTTTTAAGAGTGTATGGTTTATGAATATCTCTCTTGTTCCTTTTGACTGTAATGTTGATTTTGAAACTTCAGATCACCTCTGCTTGATTAGACGCTGCTGTGATGGGTTTGTGTGTAGGAGGATCTCACTGTATCAGCACAGACAGCAGTAATTATACACAACAGACAATCTGCAGAGTACGTGTCTGTGTGTGCTGGACTTTTTCCCTGTGTAAAGCATCTGTTTTGAGACTCGTCTCAGTGAGGAATTCTTTTAATACCTGATCAATACAGTTCACCTCTCTCTCGCTCTCTCTGTCCATTCATCCATTCCTCAGCAGAGAGATCAGTCTGATATTTGTGAGGTGATGCTGTTTGTGTCTGACCCCATGTGCGGAAGTTCAAAGAACTCATTTGATGTTTGTGGTTGAGCTCTGATGTGTGTGTGTGTTTGAGAGACTGACTGTCTCTTTGGCTGTGTGTGTGTGTGTGTGTGTGTGTGTGTGTGTGTCAATTTCAAGGTCAGATACATCCTGATTTGACGTTTTGTAGCTTTTGGGTTTTCCAGTGCCTGATATCTAAAGAACGGGCTGTGTGTGTAAAAAAATAATGTCAAATTCTAGTCAAATGAATTTGTATAGCACTTTTCACATACACATGATTTCATGTTTTCATTGTTTTACAGAAAATCATGATGATAATATTTATAATATCTTAATATCTTCATGCCTTATGGTCACATTAGAGCTGTGTGATTACATGTTGTTTCTATTTTGGCAATATACAAAC